CAGGAGCAGCAGCAGAGCCCGAAGACCCGCGGGGGGACCCGGCTCCGGGATCTGGTTCCCTCCCCCCCCCCTGCTCCAACTCCTCCTTCCTCTCCGCCCCTCGCCGGGGCTTTGGGCAGGGGGGGATGATCCGTCCCCTCCTCTGGGTTCTGCTCGACTGCTTTTCTCTGAGTGTAAGGAAGCTGGGACACGGGAGCTGCTGCCCTGTGCCATCAGTGTCACCCCACGGGTGTCACCCCACCAGCTCCAGGACTTCAGCATCTCCAGCCACCCCAGAGTCTCCATCAGGAACCTCCAAGGTGAAGGAGAAGCTGGTTCCTGGCAAACCTTGATCCCATCAGGATGTGCTGGGAGGGGAGCACCCTCTGTCCCCCCTGCCCGGGCAGGAACTGTGCCTGGAAGCTCCAAGATGCTCCAGCCCTTCCAGCCAAAGGTCTCTAAAGCTGCACACCAAGGCCCAGCCCCAGCTGTGTCCCCTCCAGCGACCCCCAGGGGCTTTGCCCACCTAAGCCTGGACCTGCAGGGCATCGGGGGGGGACCTGGAGCCCACCACATCCCCCCAGCCTGCACCATCACCTTCCCCCTGCTTGGGGTCCCATGTCACCTGTGCAGTTACCTCTGTGTCCCCTCCTGTGTCCCCATGGCCCAGTGGGGGTTTGGGGTGTCCAGTGGGACCCTCCCCCTGTCCCTGCCACAGTTTTGGGGGCTGCTCTGATGATTTCCCCTCTATGGGTGCAGCACCCATGGGTAGCTCTGTGTCGGGGGGTGGGCTCAGCTCTTGTCCCCCCCCCAAGGGGCCCCGGAAGGTGACAGGGACACCGGGACAGACTGTGTCAAAATAAAACCTTTATTGGAGTGGCTGGTGACCGGGTGTGTGTCTGTGACCGTCGCCGGGGCTGGAGAGGTGGCCCCTGGTGGTGGCACGTGGTGGCAGGGTCCCCTTGGGGTCTGCACGGCGATGGGTCTGTCCTTGCAGGCCAAGACGGGGTTGGGATCCAGCGTGTCCCTGGGTGGTGACATCCTTGGGTTGCTGTCACCCCTGTCACTGCTCCAGAGCTGTGCTGGGCTTTTGGTGGCCTGGCCACCCTGTCCTGCTTGTCACAGCATCCCTGTCCCCTGGGGGTCACAGCCAGGGAGGGGAGGAGCAGGGCATGTCAGCAGATGGGGTGGCACTAGGGGACACGGAGGTGGCACCAGGGGACACGGGGGTGTCCCTGCCCCCTCGGGTCCCCTAGGCAGCCCTGCTGTCCCCACACCAGCTGAGCCGTGTCCCCAGGTTGTCCCCCCGCAGGGAGCTGGTGTCTCTGCTGCAGGAGGGGAGGACCATGTTGTCCCCACACGGGGGACACCGTGTCCCTGCCGTGGGGACCTCACAGGCTCTTACATCTGATGTGCACGAAGAGCGTGGCCGGGGCCAGGGACGCCCCGTCCCTGGAGAGCAGGTGGACGTGCCGGTACCCTGGGGACAGAGAGGGCTGAGCGGGTGGCAGGAGGGACCCCCTGTCCCTGCGGTGGCCGCGGGCAGAGCCACCCAACTGCCCGCACGCTGGGCAGGGGCAGCGTGAACTGCCCCACGAAGTCGTTGGGGGAGGTGCTGTCGTGATCCTCCACCACGAAGCGCAGCAGCGCCAGCTCAGGTGCCCGCACCTGGAACCGCAGCGTCTCCTCCCAGCGAGGGTTGAACCCTGAGGAGGGGGATGAGGAGGATTAGGAGGAGGAGGTTGAGGATGAGGATGAAGATAAGGAGGAGAAAGATGATGAGAATGAGGAGGATAAAGTGGAGGAGGATAAAGTGGAGGAGGTTGAGGATAAAGGATAAAGGAGGTTGAGGATGAGGATAAGGAGGATGAGAAGGATGAGGATGGGGAGGAGGAGGATGAGGAGGATGA